GCCTCCACCTCTGTTTAATGATGGACAGTCTTTCTTCACAAAAATGGCTTCTTTTTTTGCTAAAACTCTCAGACTGAAGAAGTCTCTTGGAGGAGAGACGAAACGTTTCATTAGAGAAGAACCCGTCCAGAAGACCTATACAATTTTTTTCTTTTTAAAAACATTATCGTTAAAAGAATCTCAAACTCTACCAGAATGAAAGGCCAGGGAGTAAAAGTGAGTTTTAAGTAGAGATTTAAAATTCTCAACAGTCTCAGCAGTCTGTATGCTAAGAGGTAAATCATTCCAGAGTTTTGGGGCAGAGACTGCAAAGGCCCGATCACCTCTAAGCTTTAGCCTGGATCTAGGAACATCTAAGAGGAACTGGTTGGATGACCGAAGTGACTAAATTCTGACCCCCAATTTACACTGCGTCCTCTGCACAGATGTGACCTCTACTCAGACCTCGGCAGTAAAAAAGCACCCATTATAATCAATAAGTATTCTGAGTCTGCACGGCGGCGGCGTGTGCGTGGCCATCCACCAAAATAAGCTTTGATCCAATTTTTCCCGTATGCTGGAGCAAGTGCGGAGTCAGTCTACAAAGATCACGTCACACCAACAGGAAAAGGAACAAGCACAACATCTGTATTTTCAAAATAATTCAAAGGCAGACTGCGTCTTATTGAAATATCWTACAGGTATACACATGTTGTCCAAATGTGTCATTCTGTTTAGGAAGCAGATGGCAACATGCAGCATTTGCATAGATACAAAACGTGTGGATTTTATTTTGAAATAACAATTTAAAAAAAGGACAACAGTGATGAAGTTTCAGCTGTTTTCAGTCCGTGTTCCACAGATTAACCTTCATTTAACCAGGCAAATCCCACAGATCTCTTTTGCAAGGGAGGCCTGGGCCTGAAGACAATCTACTGTACATTTTTGGTCTGTAAGTTTAGAATGAATTGTTTTGGTCTTACTTCCACTTTTATCACTGGATTTCTTGCACAATCTCATTTCCTGTGCCTGTTTCTCAGARCACCTCTGTGCCYAACAGCAGAGCTGAGTGAACGCAGTTTCAATCTGGGGTAAAAGTACCAAACAGCTAGCTGAAAGTAGCAAAAAAGACAGCTAAAGGCAAAATGTCAGCTGTAAACCAAAAATAGGAAAGGGTTAATTAAAGTAGCTAGCCCTTGTTCTACTATTAGCCTTTTAATACCTGATGATATGATACCTAAAAAAGATAAAAGCAGAAAAAAGTCTAGCATAGAATAGCAAAAAAAAGGTCAAAGCAATTAAAGGCTATCTAAAAATAATTAAAACTTTCAGCTTACAACTTCGCTGAATGCTAAAAGCAGACAAACTGTAGCTAAAGCAACAACAGTTTGTTGAAGCAGATTTTAAAGAGAACCTTTTTGAAAGTATTGAAAAAGATCTATATATTTTTATAGAAAAATATTTGTAAATAAAGTAAAATATTTTGAAAAGTTTAAAAGTTGGACGAATGTGTCTCCTGAATGAGCTGAATGTTGTGATATTTGAATRGCTAAAACAGCAACAAGTTTAGATTCCAGAAAACACAACAGCTCCACTGGTTAAAGCAGTAAATCTCAGYGGACAGGATTACCTTCTCCTTCAGTTTGCTCACATAAAGGTCACTGTTAGCAAAGTAGATGGAGGAGCTGAAGTGGAAAATCTTAATCCCCTCGTACTCAGAAGCCTGGGAACCAAAAGTATAAACCAGGTTAAGGCCAGTGGGTTCTCCTGGATTTGAAATGTTTTCACCACTGCCAAACTCACCTCCTCATATTGGTTCACATCATAATACAGTTCTGTGTTGGAGACATGGCCCAGGATTGAACTTCTGGGGCTGGAAGGAAAGAGGAAAACTTTGATTTAGTTCTGTTGGAAGGCTTAGGAAGCCTTTGTTCAAGCCTTCTTTTAAAACTGATCTCAGCTTTATTCAGTAAATACAAGTGACCGATTGTTATCTGTACCTCTGTGTCCTGTAGATGACTGTTATTATAGCAAATGCTAGAGCTACTAAGAGGCCATAGTCCAGACCCAATAATACAGATGCTATATAGGACACCAACCAAATGGTCTGAAGGGACAAAGAGAAGAATGTAAGAACAATAAATTACACAGGTACGAAAAAAACACTAAGTACCTTTACATTTTCACTTCCATTGTTACTTCATAAAAAACTTTCAAATATCACTTCATCCATCGTAAAACCTTCARTTTGTTAACTTATAATTAGAAAAACCCTACGAGGTTCAAGACAGAAACTTTTAAAGATTCATTCTTTTTGGTTCAAGTCCAAAATGTTTTCCTTCAAATGTCAGCCAGGAACAAAAGACAAARGATGGGAACCAGCCGCCCTTTCTCGTACAGCCTTTCTGAACTCGTTGAAAATTTGACCCTTTATTCAAGTAACCAATCATGAACAGAAAATATCCTTATCCCAAGCTACTATCCCAACTATGAAGTGTCAATAACCATCACAACAAAGTAAAGCTGGAATTATTCTCCATCAGGAGTGATGAATGCTTTTCTTTCTGACCTAGTTGCCCATGTTTTGTTCTTGCACTACCCTTAAGAGCCTGTTTTGTGCACAATCCCTGAGCAGAACATATATTTTTTCCTACAGGAAATGCATCAAGTATTGTGTGATTGTGCAGAAGKTCATAGGTGTGTTTAAGCAGAAAAGCAGGTGAACTACACACCGCTCTCATTCCAYTTCAACTGCTGTGCTGAGGAGCAGCTGGCCAAATGAGTTACAAAATACAGCCTTCTTTACAACCGTTCCAGCTAAACTTATAAAGACTGACGTATAAATCTTATTAAAAAAGTGCTGTACATCTTACAAAGACAGTAACACAAGTCTTATAAAAATAGTCTTATAAATTTTAAAAAGACTCGTATAAATCTTTTAAAGAATTGTCTTATAAATGTTATGAAAACGGTCATATTAATCATATAAAGATGATCCTATAAATCTTATGAAGACAGTTCTTAATCTTATAGACTGCATGACGGTTTCTCTTTTCATTCAGAAGCTGGTGACTGATCACTAATTATACAACATCTGCACTAATAAGGCTGGGCTTCAGTTGACACAGACACTAAGACTAAAGCCAGAGAATGCTGTTGAAACATCAGATACATATTCATGTTTTTCCAATCAGAATCCTGAAAAAATGAAAACCTTCTCAAAACCATCATTGTTCGAATTTAGCTGAAATAAATCAACTGACCAGTTCAATCTTGCTGGTCCTCCACAACATGGGAAGATCTCGAAATTGTTTGAACATCCCAACCAGGTTGACCATGATGATGGCTGCAAGTGCAGTCTGGAAAACAAAATCAGAGAAGTACAAGGCTAATACACAGATCGACAACAAACAAACTCCAAATAAAAAACCTTTCAGCTGTGACTTTAAGGTGTCAAACAGATGTGCCGGACAACTCCACGACCTTACCCACCTGAGGGAGTGGCTGGAAGACATAACCAATGGCCACCACCACCACCAGCACCACAAGTGATGACAGCAGCCCTGCAATCTGAAGAAACACACCAAAACAGATAAGTATATAAAGGTTATCACATAGATTTATATTTATGGCTTTACAGCACCAATTCAGTCAAGTGAAATAGCTACTCTGGTGCATGAGCAGTGTTTGCGAGGTGTTGACTTACCTGGGTTTTTCCTCCAGTGCTCTCCTGAACAAGGCTCCTGGACATGGATGAAGTGATGGCAAAGGTTTGGAAAAATGAGCCTATGAAGTTGCAGAGGCCGAGAGCGATCAACTCCTGAAGGCAGAATATTTGGAAACAGGTTTGAGAAAACAAAAGAAACGATCAGTAGCACCTGGTTAATATTTCCCTCTTAATGGCAGCAGTAGACTTTTATTAACCCACTCCTTTTTAACACACTGTATATAGATTCTTACACTCAATTTTTAAGTGCATATAAACACATTAATTTATGCTACAGTTGACTGTCAGTACTTTTTAGAATCTCCTCATCTGCACCGCCATTAGGTTTTTACCTGTTTACTGAAACATATTCAAGTTATAGTTATATAATAGACATGGACAAAGTCCAGATTTTTAGCTTTCATTGGAGGGTATCCACAGTAAAATTGGATGAAGGGTTTAGTTCAACTCCTTAACATGTGCCACCCTGTTTTTAAAAAGGGGCCAAAAGTAATTGGACAATTGCCTCAAAGGCTAATTCATGGACAGGTGTGGGCAATGCCTTTGTTTTATCATTCTCAATGAAGCAGATGAAAGGCCTGGAGTTGATTTGAGGTGTGCTGCTTGCATTTGGAAGGTTTTTCTGTGAAGAAAACAAGCGGTCAAACGAGTTCTCCATGCAGGTGAAACAAACCATCCTTCAGCTGCGAAAACAGAAAAAAACTGTCCGAGAAATTGTTAAAATTTTGGGAGTAGCAAAACCTACAGTTTGGTTCGTCCTGAGAAAGAAAGAAAGCACTGGTGAACTCATCAATGCAAAAAGACCTGGGCACCCACATAAGACAACAGTGGTGGATGATCACAGAATAATCTCCATGGTGAAAAGAAACCCCTTCACAACAGCCAACCAAGTGAACAACACTCTCCAGGAGGTAGACATACCAATATCCAAATCTAACATAAAGAGAAGACTGTATGAAATGTAGAATGTTCACTTGATGGTAAATGCCACTCATTAGCCTATTTCTATGTAATCATTTTGTTCCACTGAATTAAAGCTGAGAGTCTGAACTTCAACTGCAACTGAAATGTCCTGATGCATCTCAGTAATCCAGGTAAAAAAAAAATCAAAAAGAAAAAATAAGTAGGTCCTCTGGATGGGTTCTTCTTTAGTGAAACGTTTCGTCTCTC